TTAACTGTGTACTAGCCGATTTGAAAACATGCATTCATTTTCCGCGCTTATAATCGCGTGTCGGCGCTGGTTACCGGTAAGAGGAAACCTGCTTGCACTGTGTTTGTACACTTTGTACACTTATACCTAGTGTAAGTGTACCAAGACGAATAATTCCAAAGCCTCTGATGGAAAAAGTTCGACAAGAATTAAATGAACTACTGAATGATTGAGAAAGGAGAACAACCTACCGATAGGTCTTCAGCTATTGTGGTTATCAAAAAAAGTGACAAAATCCGAATATGTCTAAATAATAGAAATCCAAACAAATTTGTTAAAAAAAATTTTATCAGTTACGATCAGTTGAAGAGACGTTGGGCCAAAATAGAGGATGAAATATTGTTTTCAAAATTAGATTGTTCCAAAGGTTTCCACAATTAAAGCTTTCTGAATCTACAAAACTTTCAACATCTTTTATAGGTCCTTTTGGTGGATTTGCCTATAAAACTTGTACTTACATTAGATTTAGAATATGTTCTTTGCCAGAAATTTTTCAAAAAACGTTTAGTTAGACTATACAGTGCGCATTACGGGTCCTATCCATGTAAGACGGGCAACAATGTCAGAAAATAAATACTTTCACAACCAATATCTAAATATTAGATACTCATGGTACCACTTTATTTGCATGATCTGGCGCAGATGTCTTTGTGGAATGCGTTCCAGAGCTTTGATGTGTCTCCTGTGTGTTACCCAAATTTCGCAAATATATAGGGTTATCCATTTTGTGCTTGAGGAAGTACACGCGTGACATTTGATAGCGGTCAAGGACACATGTTAACAAAACAGGTAGTTGTTTACTTGGATGGATGCCATTTTAGAATATGGATCGTTTTACCACCGCAGACGGGGGCACAAGTCACACAACACGAGATAATTGGGCTTTGTTAAAAGAAAAGTTTCCAGAACGAGTAATTTTGGGATTGGCTTATGTGAATTGACCAACACGGTCCTGTGATCTAACACCGTTGGACTTCTTCTTGTGAGGATATGTGAAAGCTCCTGTTTATGCCAACAACCTTCTAACGATTGACGCGTTGAAAAACAATATTCGTCAAGTTATGACCGGGATATTCCTGAAATGTGCCAAAAAGTTGCCAAAATTACCTCAACAGGATTAAGTCCTGCAGGAGGTCCCGTAGAGGATATTCAAATGATACTATAATTCACACATAATGGCAATAACCACACGTTATAATGCCATAATAGTATATTGTTGTATTAGGAGTAGAAGCTTTACTTTTTTGTGCTGAAGCGGTAGGTTTGCAAGCCGAACGTAGTGAGGCTTGCAATACTGTTGAAGCACAAAAAAGTGCTTCTACTCCGTATGCAACACGCTATTTTTTCTCCAAACGAATGGGGTAAGCTCGGGGGCAAGTGGATGGTTGAGCGGCAGTAAAAGTACGAGCGGCACTAAAAGTACTTTTGCTGCCGCTGGGGTTGCCAAGCAGCATAGAAATTAAATTTCTACCACCTCGACAGGTGTTAACCCGCTGGATTTGCCTAGCAGCATAGAAATCAATTGGATAAATTTGGATTTTTTATTCTTATGTTGAGTCCCAGAGCGTAGGTTTCCAGGATACCCTGAAGTATTTCAACTGAGAGAGCTATTAGCCCGCAATCGTCACCATATTACAGGTAGGTTATGTATTTTATTCTACACCATTTCATCCTCAATTTCGGAAAAAGTAACTTTTATTTAGGAAAATGTAAAGTTATTTTCGGAAAAAGTCAAATCAATTTCAGAAACAGTAAAGTTAATTTCGGAAAAAGTAAATTCAAATTCGGAAAAAGTAAATTCAAATTCGGCAAAAGTAAGCTATGAATGAATTAACATTTTCCGAATTTGAATTTACTTTTTCCGAAATTACCATTACTCTTTCTGAAATGGCAGCAAATATCCAGTTAAGTTCTCCAAAATTTTATAGAGGGCGCGAGTGAACTTGGAGTGCTTCAAATTTTGGCGGGAAATGTCAAAGATTTTAAACCGTTCAAATTGAGTAGAAGGAAAGATGACTGCAATATGAACAATGGACAATGAATCAGTTAAAATATCTTCTAAAGCATTCAGTGGCCCTTAGAAAATATTTTTAAAAGTGTCAGCGTCAGCTTGTCTTGAAATCACACATCAGATTTAACTTTTGAGGTTAAAATTACAATCAATTATTTACGCGCCAAAATTTAAATAGCTCCAAGTACAGAAGCGCCCTCTTCAACTCAACTGTCAATATTATATGCCATTGATTTGAGTTTTTCCGGAAATGACTTGACATTTTCCTAAATAAAAGTTACTTTTTCCGAAATTGAGGTTGAAATGGTGTAGTTGATGTTAAAGAGACCGCTGTCAAAATAGTATTTTATGGCGACTCCTGGTTCCTTTAGTTTGGTATCCACCATTATCGATAAAGCAGTAGCAAACAGGTTAAACAAGATTGGAGCGAGCACGCAACCTTGTCTCACTCCTGTTGGGGTTAGAAATGGTTCAGAAGGCTCATTATCAACATCAACTCTTGCGTAATTGTTTTCATGAAGACTCTTGCAGACTTTCAGAAATTTATGCGGGACTCCAAAATATTGGAAATATACTATTAGTTTTATTGAGAGTAAAAGCGATACTTACCTCCCTTAGTAAAAATACTTGAGATTGAAGTGTTTTATTATTATTATGAATGAGGTGTACAGGAGAATTGTGAATTGTAGGTATTTTTACTCGTATTTTTATTAAGAGAAGTAAGTACCGCTTTTACTCCTACTAAAACAATAGTGTATTTCCATAATTTTGACAAGCTGTCATTTTGTTACGGATGGACATAATAAGATTAAGACCCCTATCCCCTATTCAAATTTGGGGTGTTGTTCTCCCCCTAGCTAGGGGGTTGAAGCTACGAGGATGAAAAAAACTGAAAATTAGTTCCCTCTCAAATCAAACATCGACGTGTCCGAGCGTTTTCCCAGATTCTCATCCCAAATCCAATAAATCGTGGTGGACTGTTTTCCCTGGGACACCCTGTAGTCTGTGGTCAATATGCTTTGAATCCTGCTTTGTCAACAAGACAAGCTGCTGTTGTACAGGGCTGTCAAGGCAGTCTGTACGAAAGTTTTGAAATTGCAGAAATTTTCCCCTTATAAGATGAAAATTCTTCAAGAACTTGGTTCTGATGAACCGGACATAAGAGTGCAGTTTTGCGAAATTATGACTGATATGATTTTTCTTGAACCACACGCTTAATTAAGAATGTTACGCTTAGGTTGGTTGTGCCTGGCGCCTCCACCATTGTCACGCTTAGACTGGTTGTGGTCAGCGGATTCACCACTTTCACAACACTTGGTTGGGTTGGTTATAGGGAGAAGGAAGGATCTCACCACGATAATATTATAATACATTTATTGTTACACCTTTACTTATAATGGAGATAATAAAATAGGGTTCACCATGCAATAGCATATAGCAGTAAATTTTCTTTTCTGGTGGGCTATCATATATCGTCTCCTTTTGAAGCTTGGCTTAGGAAAACCCTGTAACAAGTCACATTTAACTTGGAGAGGTGAATCTCCACAGCCTGGAGCTCCTCAAGGGTACAGGCAAAAAAAAATTATCTCCAAGTTGGGTGTGACTTGCTACAGTTCGACTGGGATCCTAAGGTAAATGTCTTGCTAGTAGTAGTAGCGGCCTCATTTCAAAGCCCCAAATCTAGACCAACGGGAACTAAGCTCATCGAGGGACATTTCCATAGGCCGTTTGGGTACAATCGGCTTCTGATAACTTAAGGCTTTCCCTAAACCGAGCATCACATGATATCCCGTCAGAGAAGAACATGCTATGTGCTTTTGGCAAACCTCTATTATAAGTGAAAGTGTTTCAATAAATGTACCTATTAAATATTAATTAATCGTGGCGAGATCCTTCCTTTCTCCCCATAACCTCTTTTCCGGCTAAACCCTTAACGGACGCAACCAAGTGTAGTAAAAGTGGTGGAAAAAAGATAAATTAGTGTTGGAAGAGTAGTCTCACTAATCTGCGGACCCGCTTTCTTAACAATACCATCATTAAAAGTGTTGAATGGAATGACCAATTAGAGACAAATCACAGGGAGCTAGTGGAGACGAGCAGCTGGTATTTTAAGAAGGAAGAGAATAACAAACAGACGTGTTAGAAAATTAATGGAAATATCAAACACAACTAATATGGTTTGGACATCAATGATTAATAATTGGCAAATTGTATTTTATTACAAATGAGTAGCTTTCAGGATATAGTTTTCAAGTTCACACCCTACAAAAAAGGTATACCTACCTAAAAAGCTTAAGTACTTATTTGAACTTGAGTGCCGCAACAATTTCCTTCACAGTCCCAACGACCGTTTCACCCATAAAAAACTCATGGTAACATTCAAAATTCCCAAATGAAAATGTCACCAGCACAAAAACATTACCATTGAAAGCCCCATAATTCTTCTTCGGTATATCCATGTCCGACCCGATAAACAGTTCGAGATAAGGTCCGAAAAGTGGACCTTCTAGACCGAAAACCGTTTTGTAAATCAATCCTAGGGCACCTGTCGTTTCTTCAGCGGCCTACTACCATCGACCGTTATCTAATGGGAATGAAAATGTTACTTTTCGAATTAAGTTTTATCTACGTAGAAATGGACAGGTACACATTTAAAATCCAGTTAATTTAATCCAACTCAAAATACCACGGCCCTTGTAAGGGCAAAATAAGGGTCCTGTTATGTTTGTAGCACTTAAACACGTCTATCAGATATAGGACGGATAGACAAGGGAGTACGGTGCACTTGAAACCCTTCGCCCAGTAGTAGAGAGTAGAAGTTCAAGTACACTCGAGTGCCAGCGTGAAACGTTGGGAATTGCGAGTAAATATAATTAATTTTGCAGCAGGAATATACGTACGTTTTCTTTTAGAAGGGGTCGATATTAACATATGATTTTTTTTTTTGCAGAGATGTTGCACCAAGGAGACTTATCGTCGTCGATGGAGTCGCTTTCATACGATTCATCCGTCACGTCTCCGGCTTCTAGTAATGGACATGGACAAAATCAAAGAACCAAAAGGTAAGGATCGGATAATTTCTTTAATTATTCGAGTACTTTTTGCATCGCCCTCTTGTCTCAAAATACTGAGCCGTGGATGGATCGATAAAGCTCGTTTCCATGGGAACTGCTTGCTTTTTGCGTATTCGCAAAATCTTTTCCGATTTGATTTCTGCTATTCTATTTGCTTGCATTTGGCTGAAGGAAACAGGTTGGGGATTAAAAAACGAAATAGAATTTGGATAGAAAAGAATCTCAAACACCAGCTTTATTTAGATTTATAATTTCATAAGTAGGTACCTATGTAAGAGGAAATTTGACAACAGTGTGTATAATAATTGTAATATCCCCTGTATATTGTATAATTACTTCTTCCTACGAGCGTGCGGAAAACACGTTTTCACGCACTGATTTGCGTGCGGAAAGCACCACTTTCCCGCACTTATCGCACGGCGTGCGAGAAAAAAGTTTTTCACGCAGGCTGTGCCCGAGAAAAGTTTTTCACGCACTTCAATTTTTCTCTTCATATCATGCTTCTCAAAAATTTTAGATCTTTTTGAAATTCCTCCACCATTTTTTCTCTTCAAGAAAGCTATTAGGTTTTTGTACTGACTAATATCGGCCTCTTTAACGAGTTGTATACCATAAATAATTAATTCTACTTATAATAATAGTTATTTATGATATAAGTGCTAAAAGTGACATTTTATTTTGTGAAAAGGGAAGTTTGGGACACGGCGCCAAAGGCGGAGTGTTCCATCCCTTTGAACAAAATAAAATCACTTTTAGCACGAATATCATACACTATTTTTTCTACAAACGCACTAAAAGTGATTACTTTTAGCACTAGTGCTAAAAGTAATCACTTTTAACACCAGTGTCATAAAATGGCATTTTAGACACTGACAGCATCCGTTAAAAATGACACTTTTAGTGACGTTTGTAGAAAAAAATAATTGGTAATGTTCTGTTGTTAAAATCATTGCGTTACCAAACCTAATAAAAAGATCACATTTTGACCATTTCTTTTATCAGTAAAGCCAAAAACAAACAAAAAAACAATACCTATGTCAATTTCTGCACGCTCGTAGGAAAAATGTTGTACCTAACACGAGCGTAAAGTATCTTTTCCGCACTCACGGCTTGCACGAACTCCGCTGGCGCGTTTTTCGTGCAAACGCCGTTGCGTGCGGAAAAATATATCTTTCCGCACTTGTTAGGTAAATAACTATTTTCTTTTAAATACCAGTACTGTCAATGTAGATTTAGAGTTGTCATTGTCATATAATAAAAATCATATCACAATTAACTTATCATATTATGATAAATACTTATAACAAATTGGCGACGAGGATAAAACTTCGTATTCTCTAGCTAGGACAAGCAAGCTAACGTTCATCCATCAACGAATAAGACGTATCAACGAGCAATACCAATTTTTTTTCGAAAAACAAAAAAAAATGAATCAAAAGCAATTTAAAGAATTTTAAGATGCAATGATGAAAAGTCAGCAAGTTCTTATTGATCAACTATGGCATCCTCTACAACAGGTTTTCATAATTCTACTGCTTCCGTGCCTCCATTTGAAAATTTCAATCCTCAACGAGAAGATTATCGTACCTACAAAGATTGATTTGAAAACTATCTCAAAATGAAAATTGCATTCGATAATAAAAAATTTGTTGCTGAGCTGCTGCTGCTAAATTCATTAGGATCATGTCTTGAAGACCATTTATATCCAAAGAAAAATATCCTTGTTTCACAGCATAATTTTTCATCTACATATCAACAAGAAATTCAATCAATCACTGACTGACTATATTATGGTTTTAAAACGTCTTACACTAGATTGTTAATTTGTTTCACCTTCTACATATCAATTAAATATATCAAATATTTTATCAAGAACACAGTTCATCAGAGACATTTAAGATTTATCAATTCGTGAACAATTACTCCAATCAGATGTGAAACCTTTCGAAAAATTGGTAGAAAAAGCTTTAGATCTAGAATCTTCTAAATCAGACAGCAAAGATTTATCATCCAGTAACATTTATTCAAGCACAAACATGATAAATCGTTCCTCAAGATACCAATATCAATACCAATCAAAATCTCAGGAAAGCAATAGTTCAAAATCAAGACCAAAAATTTACTATCGAGAATTGGGACTTGAAGAATCATGGCGTATGTTGCGGAAAAGAACCATTTAGCTAAAAATTGTAGAACCTACCCAAAAATGCTGCAATGTAGTGAAAGTAGAAAAACAGGTCATATAAAAAAGTATGCATTTCAACTATTATCAAAAGCAAACAAATTCAGAAACAGTACATAGGTATCAAATCGAAGAAGAAACTCTCTCAGATGAAGAACAAATATTTGGTGTGACGGAACTAGCTATTACCCTTTTGTGGACTCTAGTCATTACCGCACCAGGGATGTCAAAAGTTTTTACTTTGACTGACTGTAAAAATTAACCATTAGGTGTTGGATCATTTAAGCCTTGTATTGAACTAGGGGTGCCTTGATTCTCATTTATACAAATAAAACGCTGAAATAGAATAGTTATCAATTTAATTAATAAATGAAGTTAATTCGGTTTAATCAGCAATCAAATCCTATCTAATAATTCCTATTTGGACGTCCAGTCGAACTACAAATTTTATACTAATCTAAAGTAAATAAGCGAGTAAATAAGTATCTTGATTTATAAAAATAGTGAAATTTCATAATAATAATATCAATTATGGTTAAATGTTCGATGAACGAGAACACAAATTAACTAATTAGATTTACGAGAGCACAACACAAATAATTCGTGAACTTCAATCAGCTCACTGTATTCACAAAATGTTTATAATCCTTGAAAGTTCTTTTGTTTATTGAGAGTTAATAATTTGAGCACTTTTCTGCTGAAGTGTGTAAACAATAAGTGCAAGAAAAGTCTATATATATATGCTCAGTTTCTATATACAATTTTACAAATTAATGTTCATTTCACGAGTGTGAAAACCAAATTTCTGTATTAAAGGTTAGAACAAACAATTCAATTTATAGTGCATTTCAACCGAATCAGTATTCAGTATTTATTAATTTATTGTTCGACTGTTTTGAGAAATTGAAACGGTCTTACTTGCTTAATCCAGTTCATACCGGTAAATCCATATAGTGATTATTTATCCATTTATCACTATTCGTAGTAATTTGCACTGTCAGCTAAGGGATTTTCCACTAAGAGAGAGAACACAATGATATACAGAGTTGAAGCCTGTCGAGAGTGAGACAGGAATAACCTTAAACAGGCGTAGTAGAGAATTTTGCTAGGTCCGAGATGACTTGCAACAATTTAGGGGTTAATTACATGAATTGTAATCAATAATATCGTTGATAATATAGGCCATGTCAGGCCTTGAGACACTGGGAGTAGTATTTTACTATAATTCGCGTACTAACGGGGGTTTTCTGGGGGTTTTTTCCTCTGTAGAGCGTTCAGAGGCGAGAGGGTGCAGAGTCTTTGCTTACTCTTCTGCTTCTTGATTACTACTGTTGTGTACCGTGCCGTGCGTCGAGTCGACTGCCTTTTTCGGAGCAGGTCGCATAAATCAGGGATGTTGGGTGGCAACTGACCAATCACAACAACAAAATAGATCCATTGCTCATAGGGTAATGAAGAAATCTGTAATTTTACCGATTCAAAAGGGCTGCTGTTGCCAGTTTTACAGGATTCTTTTTTTAGAATATTATTTTTATGATAAATAATAGAAATTGAGATTATATTGATAAACTACAAATAATAACATTTTAAACTTGTTGTGGGTTATTTCCGCAACATATTCCCCCCCTTGAAGTTTCCAAACTTCAATGAGAGACGAAACATTAACAAAAAAAATAAACAACATATTTACAATAGAGAAAGTAGCAGGTTTTAATCCTGAATTGGTAAAGGACATACCTTTGCTATTCCTCGAGTAAAAACACCACTTTGTGTTTTCAATTTTACCACTCTGGTTTTATTGTCTCGTCCAGGGAATACCTCTAAGACTCTGGCTAAAGGCCATCTTAGAGGTGGAGTGTCATCTTCCTTTAAAAGTGCTAATGTATTGGGGGTTAGATCTAGAGAATTCCTTTGAATTTGAACACCATTTGTGTAATTCAAATCCAGAAGCCTTTAATAAAGAGATAAGTTCGCTATAGAGTATTTCTAAATCCTTAAGGTCATCACATCCACTTAGGATATCATCCATGTAACATTGTTTCAATAGAGAATGAGACGCGAGGGGATAATCTGAGCTATTTTTTAATGCAACATCGTTTAAGACTCTAGTTGCGAGGAATGGAGCACTGTTAGTGCCATACGTGACAGTGGTCAATTCGATGCACTGAAGTGGTTTTTCAGGCTCGTCTCTCCATAAAATATTTAATAAAAAGGTCTGAGTGGGATTTATCTTTATTTGTCTGAACATCTTCTCAATATCAGAGGTGAGAGCATATTTGAAAGATCTGAAGCGTAACAATATGTCATAAAGGTCAGGCTGGACCTGAAAGCCTTTGAGAGTTATGTCATTTAGGGAAAGGCCCGTTGTGGTTTTGCAAGAGGCGTCAAAGACCACACGCAGCTTCGTTGAGCACGCACCTTCTCTAACCACAGCATGATGAGGGAGGAAGCATTTGAGCTCCAGATTTTCATTAGCAGAGGAAAGGGGTACGAACCTGGCATGTCCAAGGTTAACATATTCATGAATAAATTTCTGATATTCATGAAAATAATCTGGGTCCTTTACAAATTTCCTCTCGAGATTGTGAAATCTTTTTGTGGCTATAGACAAAGAATCACCGAGTTTGAGATTTTCAGAGGGAGATTTCAAGGGTAAGTTAACTTGATAAGAGCCATTTTCTAATACTTGAGTTGTTTCCTTGAAACAAGCTTCAGCCTTTGCATCTTCAAGGGAGAGAGGGGCTTTGGTATGAATTTCTTCCATGGACCAAAATTTAGTCACTATATTTTCGAGAGAGCTATTGTC